ACCAGTCATACAACTAGTAAATGGCCAAGCTAGGACTTGATGCTAGTATTAGCATGGTGTGATGACAAAAGCCAGGAAGGGCCCAGAGTATTGGTGGTGGTTTTGTGGGAGGGTAGAATTGGCTTTTCCTAGTACCTCACTTCCTGTCTAATCCAATCTACCGAATGTTAGAAGCCGTGTGCTTCTGCTCATCCCTGCCTGCATCTCGCATCCCCCCTGGGAAGATCAGCATCTCAAGGGTGCTTTTAAGGAGACTTTCCTTTTTCTGTCTACATCTTCTTGAACTATTTTGCAGCAACAGATTTTGGAACAAATCAATTAAAAAAATCTTTTTTTTTTTTCATGTGGAAACTAGGGAGCTTTATTGGTTACATACTGTGCTGTAGAGCCAGCAGGGAGCATTACAGCCAGAGGATACATGCAGACAGGCAGCTTCAACTATACATATGCACCCAGGAGCCCTGAGCTGCCGCTCATCGCTGTGCCCTGGTCTCCAGCGACAGGTCCTGGCCTCCTTGGTCCCGTGCTTGGGGCAGGAATGTAGAAGCTGCTGCACCTAGACTCCAAGGAGCAGGGGTGAGACCAAAGCACCTGCCTGAGCAAGTAGGTGTGGACCGACAGGCTGACACCCCCAGCAAGGGGGCCTGTAATGCAATAACAGTTTATTTGAAGGCTACCTTCCTAGCCCTCCCAGTCTTTAAGATACAAAAAAAATAGACTTTATTCTCTTAAAAATACATTCCATTCAGTACATGTTCTGAACTGTGAAGCAGCAGGAAAATAGGGCCCTTTTCCTATGATCTTGGCTGTGGGGCTTTGAGGAGAAACAGAACCCTGTTCTGCACTTGGGGGTGCTCAAAAGATAATCCCTAAAAGCAGCTCTTCCAAAGCGGTCTTGTCATAGTAACAACAGGAAAAAAACCTTGCCAACAAAGGCAGCCAGGGACCGAACCTCTGGGTCCCTACTCCTTTTCTGGGAAGGGGTAGCACTTGGCACTGACTAAATAGAACTAACACATAAAACTGCCTAAGGACAACTCCACACCCCCTCTATCCCCCCCCCCCCCCCAATAGAGGATGACTTATGTGCAAGCTTGTCTACAAAAAACTTTTTTGAATGCCTGCTATGGGCGTAGAGGTGGAGACCAAGCTTATGTGGAAGAGAATACTGTGTTCTGGTGCCTCGTTTTTGCTTCTAGGCCAAGTTGAGTTTCATGGACCATGAAGAGAAAGTGTGTGTGTACGTGTGTGTGCATGTGTGTGTGTGTGTGTGTGTGTGTGTGTGTGTATGTGTTTTGCTATAGGGTACATGCGCTCACTGGAAAGAGACAGAGAGAGAGAGACAGGGAGAGAGAGAGAGAGAAATCACCCCCCAGAAGGCATAGCCACACCACAATCGCTTCTTCTCCATTCTCTCAGGACTTCGGGCACACACGCACATGTGCCTGGCGTGATCCTCAAGCCTCTAGGTCCAGGACTCAAGTCACAGAGTTGGCTATGTGGAATCCAGAGCCTCAACCTCCATGCCACCTGCTAGTCCAAGAGAAAGTGTCAAGTTTGTTTTAGTTTCTAAAGAGTTTTTAGAAGTTTCTTTCCCAGCGCCTTTAACCACCATGCTGCCTGCCGGTCCCTAGAAGTTTATTTCCTGAGGGAGGGAGGGGGGGAGAGATAGAGAGAAAGAGAAAGAGAAGGAGGGAGGGAGAAAGAAAGACATGCAACCTCGATAGGTTCTCCATGCCACAATCTTCACCCCAGCCCTGCAGCCAACTCGGATCACAGGTTTTTTCTTGATATGTTCAGGCATACCCAGGACACGAACCTGGAGCCTTCCCTTATGACCTCCAGCATCATGCAGCAGCACCCCTACTATGTATGTGGCTGTGACTCGGCCATAGGTTGGTTATTTATTTATTTTTAAAGTCACTATTTCTGTGACCATACCGATGAGCAATGAATCTAACTAGTGGCTATAAGTGCTCAAGGGCAGGAAGGATATCTATCTTGTTTATTACAGTCTCTCGAGCCCCTAGCATAATACCTTGAATGTGATAGAACCTTCATAGATACTTGTAAACTATTGCACTGTTGGAAAAGTCATGATGTGGGGCCGCCAGGTGGCATGGTGGTTAAAGGTGCTGGATTCCCACATGGTTGACTGTGGTTCAAGTCCTGGACCTGGCAGCTTGCTTTCTTGCTTCCCCTTTCTCTCTGGCCAAATTAAAAGATAGTAATAACAAATAGAGTGAATTAAATAAATTAATTAATCTTTAAAAAAAAAGTCATGACATCTTTTTCTATGCAAAAATGTATCATGACTTTTCTGATGACCCCATAGATGAATGAATGCCGAAAATATTTTTAAAATCTGTTTACATTTAGCATTGGAGTATACTGTAAACTTGTCTTCCAATTATGCCTGTAATCACAGCTAACACTTCTTGATGGTACTGATACTTTCAATGTATTACCTCCTTTGATCCCTGCAGAACCCTACGAAATAGGCCTTATCCTTACCCCCATTTTTACAGATGAAAAATTTAAGGTCCAGAGAGGTTAAGGGACAGTCAAGGTTACACTGTAAGTGGAGCTTGGATTCGAAGGCAGGCAGCTAGATGGCTCTACCCTGCATGATCCTGAACCCTGTGCTAATCTGCTCATATGTACGTGCTGAACCTTCTCGCTATGTGCATAGGGACAAAAGCCTGAAGAGCAGAGGGAGGACAATTAACACATGGATAATCGAGAGAATGGTAGATTACAGGTAGGGGAGTGGAGAAATTTGGGTGTGAGCAAGGCAACCAAAGAGCCACGCCTCCCACAAAATTTTGTGAGTATGTGTTTATTTGCATAATTTATTTAGTTTTTTCAAAAGAATTATTTTTCTTCTTTATTGTTATTTATTTATTTATTTAGGAGAGGTTTTTGCTATAGGGCATGTACACTCACCAGAAAGACAGAGAGAGAAAGCAAGAAATCACCCCTGGGGGGAATGGCCACACTGCAATCCTTTCTCCTCCATTCTCTCGGGACCCTGGGCATGCACGCACATGTGCCCGGCGAGGGTTTAAGCCACTGGGGCTTGAACTGCGGTCGACTATATAGAAGTCCAGTGACATAGCCATTATGCCAACTGCTGGTCCCATTATTGTTATTTTTTTTTAATTTGACAAGAGAGAGAGACAGAAAATGAGAAAGCAAGCTGTCAGGTCTGGGACTGACTGTGGTCAGCCATGTGGGAGTCCAGCACATAATTTATCACTAATCTTACACATCTGATATTGATTCACTTCTTTTATTAAGTAAATCTTTTTTTTTCCGCATTAGACGTAATGCTTATTAATCATTTGCCCGCGTAGGACCAGCAGGTGGCCTGGTGGTTAAGGTGCTGGACTCCCACATGGCCAGCTGCAGTTTGAGTCTCAGACCTGGAGGCTTTAAAAATCACTCCAGGCGCATGTGTGTGCATGCCCAAAATCCCAGGAGGAGAATGAAAGAAAAGGAATTGCAGCATGGCCATCCCCAGTTGGGGGTGATTTCTCACTTTCCCTCTCTCTCTTCGGTGAGTGCATGCACCTTATGGCAAAAATCTAAAAGAATCTTGCGCTGTAAAAACCAAACAAATCATTTTCCTTCATTTGCTTTTAGAGATGTGAAACCTTTGTATTGCAGTGGGCCGTGCAGTTCAGCATTGACTTGATGTCATGCTATGACAAATCATACACAAAGCCAGTGTCTCAGAGTTCACATTCAACGCTTACCAGTTAACCCAGTTTCTGTGGCCTTTAGGACATGGCGTTTTGGCATAGGGATGTTGTTTCCCTTATTACAGCAATGCTGGCTTTACTTAGTGACCTTATCCTCAAAAAATGTTGTTGCTGAAATTCAAAATGATTCTTTTTGTCTATATATATTTAAGTTACCTCAATTTACGAGAAATTGCTGCTTAGATATTTCTGTGAGCGTGCCAGAGGAATCTGGAAATCATTTCATTTTATTTATATAAAATGCAGAAATTCGAAATCTAGAGATTGCTCCTACAGACAAGAACTTTCCTTGCCAGGTTTTGGCCCCAGGATTATGCTAGCCTCATAAAAATGTGTTAACACGTACTTTTTCTTTGAGTCTTTGAGAGAATGGAATTCTTGTTCATTAAGTATTTGATAGAATCACTCGTGAAATCTTTGGGGCCTGGAGATTTTGTGGAAACCTTTTTGAGAATTTTTCAGGGTTTTTTTTAGAAATTTTTGAGAGGCGTATGTGTTCCCCAGAGAGACAGAGACAGAGAGAGAGAGAGAGAGAAAGTGAGAAATCACCCCTCAGGGGGATGGCCACACTGCAATCCCTTCTCTTCCATTCTCCTCTCGGGATTTTGGACATGCACATACTCGTGCCTGGTATGAGTTTCAGGCTGCCGGGTCCAGGACTCAAACTGTGGACAGCTATGTGGGATTCCAGTACCTTAACAGGTATGCTTCCTCCTGGCTACTTTTTAAGGTTTTTGCCGTAGGGTCCATGCACTCACCAGAGAGAGACATACAGAGACAGTGAGAGGGAAAGTGAGAAATCACTTTCCAGTGGGAATGGTCACACCGCAATCCCTTCTCCTCCATTTTCCTCCTGGGATTTTGGGCACATATGCACAAGTACCTGGTGAGATTTTCAAGCCATTGGGTCCAGGATTCAAACCACAAGTTGCCCATGTGGGATTTTAGCTCCTTAACCACCATACCACCTGCTAGCCCCTTTTTGAGAATTTTAATAGCTATACAACTTACTCAAGTTTACTATGTCTTCTTGGCAAATTATGCTTTTTCCTAGGGATTTGTCCATCTCTATGTCAAAATTATTGAATAAAGTTGTCCCTAAGATTTTTTGTTTATAGCGTTTGCAGTTACATTGCTTTTTTAGTCATTCTCCCTCTTCTCTTCCCCTTGTCTCTCTTCCACTTTGCTCTCTGTCTCTTAATTTTGCCTATTATTTTTTATTATGATTTTTTTTCCTGTTGTATTGTAAACTGTGGTGTCCCATGTCCAGTCAGACAGGACACCCCCAAACCAGTCCTGTTTCTCTTGCTTATAGAGGGTAGGTTCAGACTACATGGAATGGACTGAGCCCCAGTGAGCACAGGATCGTCTTTTATTTAAAAAATATTTATTGGACCAGCAAATGGTGTAGTGGTTATGTTGCTGGATTCCCACATGGCTGACAACAGTTGAATCCTGGACCTGGTGGCTTGAAACTCATGCCAGGCATGGGTGCACATGGGTGCAGGTGTGCCCAGGATCCTGGAAGGAGAATGGAGGAGAAGGGATTGTGGTGTGGCCATCTCCCCAGGGAGTGATTTCTTACTTTCCCTCTCATTGTCTGTCTTTTGCTCTCTGACAAGTGCATGGGCCTTAAGGCAAATTTTTTTGTTTATTTAATTTTTAATTTACTTTAGGGAATGTGCACTGACCAGAGAGAGACAGAGAGAGAGAGAGAGAGAGAGAGAGAAAGTGAGAAAGCAAGCCCTCAGGTATGAGGCTCAAACTGCAATTAGCTATGTGGGAGTCCAGCAGCTTAACCACCATGCCAACTGCTGGCCTCACAGGATTGTCTTTTTAAAGAACAGTCTCAGTCCAGCCTTGGTTGCACAGTCACTAGCATACTGAACTGTAGTTCTAGAAGCTACATGACTGACCATGGGTTCAGATCCCCAGCCTGGTCAACTGTGGTATGGAGACTCTGGGTAACCCTCTCTAGTTGGCATGCACATGCTCTATTATTAATAAGTAAACTTTAAAGAAAATGAAAAACGACCTTGGCTTTCTTAGTTATTTTGTACCTTTTTTCTGTGTGATTAGTTTAGGCCTTTAATTTTTGTAATTATCTTTCTTCTTTCAGTTTATTTTGCTGTTCTTTAAACTTCTTGAGAAGAAGCTTAATTCGTTAATGTTAAGCCTTTCTCTTTTTTAATATGTATATTTAAAAGATAAATTTTACTCACTAGCTGTATTCCACATATTTAAGAAAATTATTTTATTTAACTTTATTTATTTCTTTTAATTTGACCAGAGAGAGGCAGAGTATGTGTGTGTGTGTGTGTGTGTGTGTGTGTGTGTGAGAGAGAGAGAGAGAGAGAGAGAGAGAGAGAGAAGGAAAGTGAGAAAGCAAGCCACCAGTTCTGGGACTCAAACTGTGGTTGGCTGTGTGGGAGGCCAGAGCCCTTAAGCACCACACCACCTGCTGGTCCCTGTATTTCACACATTTTGGTATGTAAGTTTTAATTATCAATTGGGCCAAATATATTGTAATATACATTATGACTTCTTCTTTAACCCATAAGTTATTTGTTAAATAACAAATTTAAAATTAATGTTTATACTTACATCAAATTATACTCTAAAGCAAAAAGCATTACTTAAAATAAAATACCTAAAATAAAATTTGTTAAATAATAAATTTTTCTTATTATAACTTGATTGTATTATGGTCAGTGAACATACTTCTTTCATTTTTTTCTATTTTGTAAAAAGTTTTTGTAACTTTCTTAATGATCTGGTTCATTTTCATATACATTTCATTGGATTGTTGGAAAAGTCATGATGTATTTTTCAGTGAAAAATTTGTCACAACGTTTTTGGCTTCCCAGTATGTGCACTCTGCAATTATTTTGTGGAGGAGTCTACATATGGTATTTAAGTCAGGTTGATTAAATGTATCAATCAAATGTTCTATATCTTTATGACTTTCTTATTTGATTTTTACCAATTCCTGATGCAGAAGCGTGACTGTCTCTCTGGTTGTGAATCTGTTCTATTGATATTTCCCTTATACTCTGTCAAAACTGCTTTGTTTATTTTGAGGCTACATTAATTGTGTTCACATGTAAATTTGTTCAAACTTCCTATTGAACTGAATCTTTTATGAATGAGTCATTTTATATACTGTAATGCTTTGTGCTTTAAAGTATAATTTGATGTAAGTATAAGCATTAATTTTCTTTTGATTAGTGTTGGCCTGGCATATCTTTCCCATCCTTTCACTTTATAACTTTCTGTATCACTAGTTTCTAGTTGTGTTCTTGTAAATAGCATATAATTTGAGTCTGTATATTTTTCTGGTCTGATAGTCTTTGTCTTTTAATGGAATCACTTAGGCCATTTACATTTAATGAATCTTCGATTTATGTTATTATTATTGTTATTTACTGTAGGGCACCTGTGCTTGCTGGAGAGTGACGGATAGAAAGAGAAAGAGGGAAAGCACTCCCCAGGGGGAGAAAAACAGAGAAAGAGAATGAGAAAGCACCCCCTGGGGGGGGGAGTGACAATGCTACAATTCCTTCTCCTCTTTTGGGCACTCACATACTTGTGCCCAGATGTTTTCCAAATGTCCAGATCTGGGACTCAAACTATACAGTCAGCCATGTGGGATCCAGTCATCTTTTTTTTTTTTTTTGAGAGGTTTTTTGCTATAGGGCGCTTGCGCTTGCCAGACAG